AATTTGTAAATTTCTAGGCCTGAACAAATCATATAGTTACCATCAACATATGGCAATCACGAAAAAGCAACCATGAGCTTCACTTATCAAGCTCGTTTCCAGGTGAAACCATGGAACCTGCTAAGAACTTTGTCCCACCATCTGCGTCCGCTCATCGTCTTCTGCATCCTCGAGCTCATCATTTTGAGCAGTTGCCTCATCACCAACGATTGGCTCATCTTCAACAATTGCCTCATCATCGCTTTCCTTCTGCCCCTCTCCCTCCAAACTAATGCCCTTCTTTGTAATTTTTACAACTTTCCTGCCTACACTCTTAACCCACTCCTTTGTTCCCATGGCTATATTTTCTTCGCCCTCCACCGCCACAAGAGTCCCGACAATCCTGCCAGTCGAAGAGGCTTCTAGAAATGTTCGCATCCGCTTTGACCCTGTCCGGCCCATAGCACACAGAACTGTAAGTGCAATGATCGTCGCGAGGGTGACGGTCAGTATAATAAATGCGGGCACCGCGAAAGGGATTTTATAACGGATGTATTTCTTAAAAGGCATAACGGGCACTATTTGTTCCGCTGGGTCTGTTATGGCCGTCTCACGCTTTTTATATCTAACATTCGCATCTTGCGGCTTTCCCCTCTGCCGTTGCTGATATGCTGTTGCAGAGAAACTGGTCACGCCCCAACCCTTCGTGCCCATGACCGCGTTGGCTGCCGAGTCTGTCCACACCAAATCGAGGATTCTAGCGGCACCCTCTGGCGTTTTAGACAGGTTTTGCCATTTGGCAAATAGAGCTAAGCTTGTAAAGCCCGAATAGTCCACATATCCGCGATTCCCGCCGGGCCGAGTGATTGTGAGCGCGGTGAGCATAGCCTGAGTGTAGAATTCAGTGCCGGGAAGGTTCTGCGCAGCGTCTGATACGCCTCTGCTGCCTTCTAGGAGGATTGTGTAATCGTCCATGTAACCTGGGAGGAAAAGGTGTTCGTGGGACTTGGTGGAAATATTGGAGGGAAATTTAATATCCCCTGTCGACTTTGAAGGGCCGAGGATCCCCCAGAGTGGTTTTCCATTTGAAATGGGAATTTCTTTGAGGTCCTCCACAGCCCAAAGGGGTTTGGATTCCTGGTCTACATAGATTTTGGGCTTTGTGGAGTTTACTTCTAGCGCTTCGAAGGTTGTGCCGTTGAAATGGAAGGTGACTTCTTTGACTAATGCTTTCACAGAAGAAGCGCAGCTGTAGACCGGTAGTGACCACCGTGAGCCTGGGTTTGCGATGAGAGAGGAACCGCCCTTGTCAATTCGGTTTGCAGCGCCGTAAAGGAGACTGCAACCTACGAGAGTGGCGTTGATATTTGCCGGGCTGTCGAATGTAGAACCCGCACAAAGATTTGCTGCAAACGGTTCTTAGCTTTAGATAGCACTCTATATTCGGTGGTTACCAAAAGGAGAAACTTACTGATAAAAGAAAAGTTTCTCATGCTGATATCAAACGGATTCTCACTCCATTTAGTGCCGTTCATGCCCGATTTTCCCGTTAGATTAAGATATTCTCCGAACTCCATACTCGAGCGCAAAACGTCATACCCAACACGGAATGTGGTATTTTTAGAAAATGACGGCAGTGGAAAAGTGTCTCCTTCGGACACGTCCAGGCGCTTGATGTTGCGCATATCGGGGTCTATAACATTGTAGAACACCATTGTCAAGAAATTATTGAACCACCCCGCACTCATTGCCCGATCCTTCAGGTTGAGATCGACCTGCCCGTTCGAACTTATTCGCTCAAGGCTTGGAGCAGCGTTATCACGGAGTCCAGAGAAACCACCATGGTCAACAATTTTGAGATCCTCCACATATTGGTCGCTAGTCGACATGTCGCGAGGCAGTACGAAGTCCAGTGTAAAATTCAAATCCACGCATTGCGTCTCCGGCTCGATGAACAAGATATCCTCGTTCCATCTGCTGCCGAACTCGTAACGATGTTGAGGCACCGTGTGGGCCCGGAAACCTAGGCCCCCCAGTCTTCATGTCGACAACAAGACCTTCAACGGGCAAGATTTTATCTTCTAGTAACAGAGTAGCCAACTGACGATAGGCGGGCTTCACGAAAATGCCTTTGCTTGGGTCATCTGCATTGTTTATGTAGGTTCTCCACTGGATGTCGAAGATGCTTGACACAGACGGTGAAAACTTGGTGGCGCCATCTCTAAAAGGAGTGATGAAGCTTTCGGGGAGGGCGGTTTGTATGTTCGACGTACAGTTTTCCAAGAGGCCGATTTTCTCACATTTTCTCTCGACAGTAGAGCCCGGACATGTATACGTCGTGCCGCAGTACCTGGAGAAAAACCCATCAGGGCGTGGTGGTGTCCCGTATCCAAACGCTGAGGTGTCCTTAATATATCGAAATGGGGTATTCTCCTTGTCACCCGACGGCTCGATAGACTCATACAGGCCCAAGGGCGTGACAATAGATGTGATCGCGACCAGCGCTATAGCCATGGTTAAAAACCAGGACACAAAATTGACCCGCCTTCTAACACCAGTGGTGGCCACAGTATCTACACTGAGAAGCGTTGGCCATGGTGTTGATTGAAGAAAACGGCCGAGAACAGACCTGAACAAGCATCAGTCTTGCCATGCCTTCAGAAAAATATCATTGGGGTTCCATACCATGTAACTAGGGTGTGGGTGTCTGAAATGAAGGCAATGAGAATAGCTGGTATAGCCAAGGGGAAAAAGACCTGCACTGCATGTTCTGTATCAGCATTGATTCACACTTGCGATTGGCAACATAAAATAACAAAGTCCTCAAACGTGCACTGACAGACAAAGATGCCCGCTGCGATGAAGCCGGAAACTTCACCAACCGAGATATCCACCATGGTCGAGCAGCTGTAATTCTCAAAGCTTCCTTCCTGACTTTGCGTCGTTTATGACACCTACCCACAGATATCGAGGCCAGCTCCAACAGGCTGTCCAGAAGTCAAGAGACATTTTCCTCATGTTAACAGAGTCGCTGCGCCAAAAAAAAAAAAAAAAAAAAGGGCTTCATTGATAAGAAATTCCACCTGAAGCATTTGGCAGTCCGTAGTCTGCGCTAGGGGGCGGATACGAGGGCTCCATAATGCCAGCAAGGATTAAACACGAACACTGACTCCTACCCAAGTGGCACGATTGGATTCCGGAGAAAGATGACCAAAAAAAAAAAAAAAAAAAAGAAAAGAAAAGAAAAGAAAAGAAAAAGAAAAGAAAAGAAAAGAAAAGAAAAGAAAAGAAAAGAAAAGAAAAGAAAAAAAGAAATCACGTTAAGAATTGAATGGGCCTGGTTTGAAATTGACAATGCGACAGGCCAATTCTTCTGGAAGCTGGAATCGTGTTAGGTATAATCCCCGCAGAAGAGTGTTCAATTTGCTTCACAGTACGGAGTACATGTTCAAAATGAGCTGGAAGAAAAGAAGCAAAAATAAAAATAAGTAAATAAATAAAATGAAAATCTTAATTGAATCGAACCAATAAAATCTCGTTTATCCAAGAAGTAATCAGAACAGATCTTTTCTTTGGAGTCACATATTATGATGAATAACGCAAACAGTAAATGAAAACCAAACTAAAACAAGGAGATGTGAAGTTCAACCACCAGCCAAATATCCTCCTAACGTCTTTCCACTCACTCTCACACTCTACCCCGCAATTTCCCCGAACTCCCTCAAATAAGTTGCTCATTCAGGTGAATCTTCCCCTGAGGTGTTCTCTCAAATCGCATCGCAAACAAGGCCCGGACGCATTGTCCAGCCCGCAACATATAATACTTCATCAAGCTCGCCCACCTCCCTGTTCTTCCCTTCGAACTCCTTACCCGCAGCAGATAATACAACACGACCGCCGCAAATACATTAAAGGTAATATATGCCCACCCAAGCCCAAAATTGCGCCAGCGCTGTGTCCAAAATATCTCAACAGTCGAGAGGAACTGGTCCGCATTTCGGATCGGGCAGTACCTGCATGCCTCTAATGCACTGGGGTTTTCAAGACGGCCCGGTGCGCCCGCCTCAAGATATCTCTCGAGGTATTCTCCGCAAGTGGAGCCGCTTGGAGGGTTGAAGATTGCGAATTCGTTTTCCGCACAGTGCACGACGCGGCCGTGCAGCCCTGTGGCGGCCATGCCCCCGACGGAGTAGGTCAATGGGGATACGCGCCACATGAAGATCCAGAAGCCTGGAAGTGCGCTAGGAGGCTGCATAACGCCATTGAACACGAGCGCTAAACTGAAGAGCGTTGTTGCCATGTGTCCGGCGGTTTCTGCATCAGGGAGGCCGGCAATTACCATATGGGCAAAGGTCGACGCGAAGATGAAAAATTGCACGCAGTAGATGAGGAATATGCCTTGCTGTTCTGATGTCTGGTTCTTGCCAAAAACTGGGTAGTAGAATGAGACCCAGACACTATTCCGAGGAGGATTTGATAGGGAATTTCCACGATGATGTTGCAGAGGAAGGCTTTCCAGCTATACGCACGC